GGCCGGGGCTTCGGCGACTGCCGGGCCCGTTTCAACATCAGCGCCTGCCGCCTCACCACCAACCGCAGCCGCCTGCGGGAGGCCCAGGCCGTGGTCTTCCACCACCGGGACCTCGTCCTGGAAGGTCTCGGGGACTTGCCTGAGGCGAGGTCCCCTGCCCAGCGCTGGGTGTGGATGAACTTCGAGTCGCCTTCGCACTCCCAGGGCCTGGGGGACCTGAGCGGCCTCTTCAACTGGACCATGTCCTACAAGGTGGACTCGGACGTTTTTGTGCCCTACGGGTACCTGCGGCCCAAGCGGGCCCCTGTTTCCCAACTGGCCTTGCCCAAGAAGACCAAGCTGGTGGCCTGGGTCATCAGCAACTGGCACGAAGACCACGCACGGGTGCAATACTACCGCCAGCTGAAGGACTACGTCCCCATTGATGTCTATGGGGCCGGCAGGCTGGAGCTGAAGAACAACAGTGTGGTCAAGACGGTCTCCCAGTACAAATTTTACTTGGCTTTTGAAAATTCCCAGCATCAGGACTACATCACAGAGAAGCTCTGGAAGAATGCCTTGATGTCCTGGGCGGTGCCCATCGTTTTGGGCCCTTCCAGATCCAATTACGAGCTTTTTATTCCCTCCGATGCCTTCATTCATATCGATGACTTCTCAGGCCCCAAGCAATTGGCTCTTTACCTGAAATTCTTAGATAGGAACAAGAGCAGGTACAGGAGGTATTTTGCCTGGAGGAAGCATTACGACGTCCACGCCACCTCCTTCTGGAGCGAGCATTGCTGCAGGGTCTGCGACGCGGTTAGGACTGCAGGACAGCAACACAAGACCATCCAGAACCTGGCCAACTGGTTTGAGCATTGACCAGATGACGATGGCTAGGCTTCTGTGCAGGATATTTCTCTTTGAGAACATTTTGAGATCGATAAAGAGCTGAGAGGGTTGGTTTCTCACAGCTGGAAAGGGAGGGGAAAATTCTTAAAATTCAGAGGTGGGCCATGCTTTTCTTTTCAGTGTGATCACTGAGAATGCCATAAAAGCCTGCAGTCTTTCGAGCCCTCCAGCACTCTTCATGAAGCTAGATGGTACGAAGAAAATAATGTACCGTGCTGGGTTTTGGAGGGGGCAGGGCTTTTTAAAAACCTAAGCCCCCTCCTTTTTTTGCTTAAAGGCAAATTCACAAAACTAGATTGCTTGCCTCATTCTCCATGTAGTTGGGTCTATGTTGATGGCTGACTTCCAAATATAGGTGATAGAGTCCTTGTGAGCCACTGCAGATCTGCAAGAAGCATTTGAATGCTTCCTTGTATTATCCACACATCTAGAGAGACTGTGTCTAAGAGAAAGGTTTAGTCTTGAACTCACCAATACACTGTTTTTATATGCAGGGAGTTTTTAACATGGGTGGATGTTAAAATATGGATGTATTTTTCATTCATAGCTTACAAATGCTTGAAGTGTGAAATGTGTGGCACCCCACATTGACTCTGCCAAATCATTGAACTGAACCTGTAATCCAACCATAATTTTGCAGAGAATGGTTGAGGTAGTGCCCTCTAGTAACTTCCACATATTGTTTATTATTGTGACATGACGTCTAATCTCGAGAACGGCCAGACTGTGACTTACTCTCGGCTATACGCACCTTTTGTGGCCTTTGATTATCATGGTGATGCATGGAAACTGTTGGCTTCATGAGACCGTAATGACAAAACAAGCCGAAAATACTGACAAACTCTCATAGTCATAGAATTGCAGAGCTGGAAAGGACCCTATGGATCATTGAGGCTTGACCACATTATTTACCATAGGAAATAGAATTGCTTGAAAGTCGGGCCCAAAGCTTCAATTTTTCTACATTAGAAAATAATAACTGCAGACTTGCAATATTAAAATATGTAGCACTCATAGGAAGAGCTCAACAGGGTCTCAAAAACAGGAGTCTTCCCTAGCTATATCTCAGTATCCTAGGTAAAGCTGAGAAGTACATCCTTAACTAGTAAGCTATGATCTGCCCTGACGTGGCATTCAGAGGAAGCATTCTGAGTACAACCTAACAATAGGTGACCACTGAGCCCTGATAGACTCAATGCAGCTTCAAAGTTCTGCTGGATAACAGCCACCTTGCCTTTTATAACTTGAATCCATAAATGCTGCACAGTTTAAATGCACTATGCAAAGGAATTTCAGATGTAGTATGTAAATAGTGATAGTTATTTGATGGATTGTTGTACCTAAATGTCTACAGCAAATTTTTCATTATGGGTTTTAGGAATTCAAGACCCTAAAGATTTCTTGATGGGATGGAGTTTAGCAATAGTCGAAAAGTTTGCTTAAGAAGCCCCTTATCCATCACTGCCGAACTTTTCTTACAATGTACAGCTATAGCAATGTGTCTGTATGTGTTTCAGGCATACCGTTAAGAAGAAGCCAAACATAATAATGAAAGAGAAATGGTTTCTTCTAGATTTTAGATCTTTGTGCAAGATTTCTATGCCAGTGAATCAGTCTCCAGTTGAGCCATAAGAAATTTTGCTTAAAATACGTATTACATACCACATCCATGTTTATATGTTCATCCTTTTCTCACTTCCCCACTCCTGTTTTCTCTCTTTTTAACCTCCCTGTTCTAAAAATGCTTCCAAATTAGTCATTGGGTTTGGAGGAGAAGGTATTGCCGTCCTATCAACCATCCCAAAAGCTCAGTTTGTGGGAGGAGAAATCACAGTTGTGTTGAGTGCGGTAAAAATGCTTTCACAGTAGATATTCTGTCTGTCTTCATCCATGGTTCATGCAGACTAATGTAAGGGTCCATCAGAACTTTAGAGTTCCCTACCTGTATCAAGAGGGAGTAGACTGTGGCTGTAGAGCACATACCTGGGATAGGAAACGTCCCAGGATGGATCCAAAGTATTTCCATTTTGCACCTTTTCCTGAGACCCTGGAGATTTGCTGCTGGTCAGCACCAACAGTAATGAATTAGAGCGATTAACTCAATAAGGCTGCTTACATTACAATATGTTTTCCTGTGCATAAATTGATATTGAGCTGCTGTGTTCATCAGACATGCACAAAGATGCATGCACAGAAAATCTGTGTCCTTGTTCTTTTTTGAATGCTTCACATTTAATTCTTGCCAGTTTATGGTTCAAACTAAATCTCAACTACATGCAGTCGTGGGAATACTACTATAAGGAGTCCATATCTATGAATCTTCCAGTAAATCCTAGCAGACATGAACTGCACAGAGTTTTTTCACAAAGTCAGCCTTGGAGGATATAAAGGGTTTCTTTCACTAAAAATAACTGTATGTATGCCTAGGGGAAAAAGAGCCATGGCAAGTAGCAGTAAAGCAAACACCTCCTTCGGCTGTGAGTTTGTATGTGTTTACAGGCAGCTTGTACCGTTTTGCCATGATGTCATAGGGAAAATTAGACATGCTTTCTAATTCCATCCAATTTATTTATGATGAATTAAGGCTGAAGTCCTATGTTCTTCTGCCTGTGAGCAGATTTCACTCATTGCAGTGGGACTTGCTTATGAATAGACATATATTGTGTGCTGATGTAATTTATTGGTTGTGTTTATATTAATATTAGTAGTCTATATTGTGCGATGATCAGTCAAGAAATATGTATTAAAATACTGTGATTGGAAGGGATTTTATGTGTCAGGAAAGTTTACATAGTCAGTTTGCAAAGTTGCTGACTGCAAAGTGGGAATGTGAAAATCCCACTATAAGGGCCTTACTGTCTGGAGACTGGACAAGGAAAATAAAGCTTAGATAAAGATAACTTTAAAAGCAGGGAGAAAAAGTCCCAGTAGAAACATACCAACCCTTGACTTCAGGATTTTGTCAGAAACTGCCACATCATTTTCGTCAGTCTTTTTTTCCACCACAAACATGAGGGCTAGTAACTTGTTTATGTAAAGCTTTTGGGGTTAGCTTTATCAGAAGGTACTGTATACAGTTCTCAGTTATGTTTGACAATTTGTACCTTAGGTAATGAAAACAGGAAACTGCTGAATATTAGGATCAGACTACACTTCGATTATACTGTGTCAAAATATGAACATATTTTTTTTCCATTGGGCATAATCCAACCCCAGTAAAACACTTCAATTCTTATTGTTACTGATGGGAAGATTAAATATGTGCTTGAATCTCTTCAGAAAGACTTCATGTTGGCTGTTTTTTTTCTACCCTGTTTTCCCGAAAATAAGACCTAAACCTGAAAATAAGCCCTAGTATGATGTTTCAGGATGTTTGTAATATAAGCCCTACCCCAAAAATAAGCCCCAGTCAAGCGAAACCCCACCCTCCGTCATTGTACAGCAACCAGGAAAAGATGACATTACTGTATTTGAATAAATGTAGATTGTTGTACATGGGAAAAATAAAACATTCCCTGAAAATAAGCCCTAATGAGTTTTTCGGAGCAAAAATTAATATAAGACCCTGTCTTATTTTTGGGGAAACACAGTATAAAGGTATAATGATGGCAGTTTATGTTTACCATAATTTTATCAAGATGTTTACCTTGGTGTTTTCATAAACAATGGCAATATTTATATATCCCACTAAACTGTGTATTTTTATGACATTAACAAGCTGGTACAAGATTTGGGCTAATACTTTTGCCTCTGTCTCTCTATTCATCACAGCTGCAAGATGGTGTTTGGAAATGTTTGCTTACAGTTTTACTGAATCATAGTTTATTGTTTCATGTTTATTGTTTTATTGTTTCCAAACATTTCCAGTGATGATCTGTTCAGATATTTCCTGGTTTTCTCCTGAGTCCTGTCTTTCCTTCAGGGAAATTATGTAAAGGACAAGTTCCAATATATTTTCTACGTAGGAGCTCAGAAACAAACCAAATGAGGAGTTGGGTTGTTTTTTTAAAATGTGTGTCTTAATCAGTGGGAGGGCAATCTTCAAAAGAAAATAAATCAGTTTACATTTTGGTTATCTGGCTCAACTGCAACAGAAGCATTTAGGGTCCCATATTATGAATAAACTTGCTATGCAGGTAACTCAGGGAAATTTCTATTCTTAAGTATTTTGCTCCCTGTTACAACAGAGACAGAAAGAAAGGAAATACTTTCATATTTGCAATTGTATTTCTAATAAGAAGACAATAAAGTTGAGCAAAAGAATATGAATAAAGATGTGGCTTCTTTTTTGTCCTTTTCTAAATATTTATAATATGTTTTGAGGTTTTCCTTCAGGTTAAAATTACAGGTAGGTACAGATTTTTCCTTCTTATTTTCTATTAAATACAGGACACTTGTACATCGTATTCATAAAAGAAGTTTCCTTGTCATTAAAAAAATGCAGTCTGTTTTCTCTGCAACCAGATTTCTTCAGATCAATCATGAAGATTATTTTTCAAACATTTCTGATAGAAACTGACCTTTTCAGGCCACTGTAAGTAGAGAAGTCTGATTTCCTCTATCTTACCATAAAAAAAGCTGCTCTAAACTTTGATTGATAATATTTTGTTCCTTCTGTCTTAACTTACTCCATTCTCCCCAATTGCTATGCCTACTGGGGTGATGGGAGTTGTAATCCCACAGATTTGAAGAACACTAGGTTAAAGACAGTTACCCTGTATCAAATTTTAATGGAAATGAAGGTTATGCAATCTAGAATGAAACTGATAGCAAGAATACCTTCTGGTTGCAGAGACCCAGCTGGATAAAGGAACAGCAACAGTTAAAGAAAATGTTTGGCTTTTTAAAAGAAGGGAATTATGGGGAGAGGAAGGTTGAGTTTGTCAGTCCTACTGGTTTATAATCATAATAATCATGTGTCAGCTAATCAATTCTGATTTATGGCGATTCTTTTCAGGGTTTTCCAGGTAGAGATTGTACAGAAGTGGTTTACAATTCGCTTCTTCCAGGACCCAAGTAGCCATTTTCCCTCCCTGGTGTCATGAGACCTTTTGTGTCACATGAGACCTTTTGTGTCTCAGGTGTGAAGGGGGAGCAGGTGTTATCGCTCTCGCTCTCAGACTGGTCACTGGAAGTTCTACATGGCACCTCATGGTAATGAACTATCTGAGGATCTGAAAAAACAAATTGTTGCTCTACATAAAGATGGCTACAAGAAGATTGCCAGAACCCTGAAGCTGAGCTGCAGTACGGTGGCCAAGACCACACAGCGGTTTAACAGGACAGGTTCCACTCAGAACAGGCCTTGCCGTGGTCGACCAAAGAAGTTGAGTGCCCGTGCTCAGTGCCATATCCAGAGGTTGCCTTTGGGAAATAAATGTATGAGTGCTGCCAGCATTACTTCAGAGGTTGAAGGGGTGGGGGTCAGCCTGTCAATGCTCAGACCATATGCTGCACACTGCATCAAATTGGCATCCAGGGCTGTTGTCCCAGAAGGAAGCCTCTTCTAAAGATGATGCACAAGAAAGCCTGCATACGGTTTGCTACAGACAAGCAGACTAAGGACATGGATTTTTAGAACCTTGTCCTGTGGTCTGGTGAGACCAAGATAAACTTATTTGGTTCAAATGGTGTCAAGTGTGTGTGGCGGCAACCAGGTGAGGAGTACAAAGACAAGTGTGTTGTGCTTACAGTCAGGTATGGTTGTGGGAGTGTCCTGGTCTGGGGCTGCATGAGTGCCGCACGGAGCTACAGTTCATTGAGGGAACCATGAATACCAACATGTACTGTGACATACTGAAGCAGAGCATTATCCCCTCCTTTCAGAGACTGGGCCGCAGCTTCAAATGTTGTCTTTTCATTACCTGAGCCATCTTGGGTCCTTTCTAAGGAGAAAAGTGAGGTAAATGTATTATAAATTTAATTAATTATTTAATTAATTAATTAATTAATTAATTAATCATGTGCCACTTTTTTCCTGATCTCAGGACAAAAAAGTTGGTTTTATCTCCATCAACAGAGCAAGGCTAGCACAACATTTCAGGGTTCAGGTCGTTTACTCCCTTACTCTGATCACAATTTGCCTCCATTTGTCTTCATTGTGGCTGTGTCAGTTGCTTCCCCAAAAGGTAATCTTCATATCTTTTCCTAGAGAAGTTGATGGGGAAAGTCCATATTGCACCATATGCTTCCAGGAGCAGGGGAGCTTTGAGTACTTTTTAGAGAGGGATTTGAAATGATAAGGGCAAATTTATCTCTGTATTCAATCATTGACCTTTCTGGCTAATCAAATCTGCTGCGATGGAACGGATGCCTAGGTAATAAGTGTTTTGTTATGGGAAGGCATTTCATCTATAGAATTTCTGTTGAGGACACTCTTGTTAAAGAAGATTTAATCCAGAAAGGTCCAATATTTTCAGCTGGTACCATATGGGACAGATAGGCTGCTGACTTATGTATACTATTAAGATTGTATGACCCCAGTATTGAAAGACCTCCAGTGGTTGCCATTTGCCTACTGGGCCGAATTTTTCTTTCTTTAACCTTCTCAGCCATGTTTAGATGTAGCTGTATAAAAAGTACTGCCTGTCTTGCTATGAATCTATTATGAATCTGTTCAAATGTGAAATCTTTAAGAGAGTCTGTCTTGGGAATACTGCCAGGGGCTCATTTGGAGGACAACTTTCTCCTGTACGGCTCCTTCAGAGCTGCTTTCGACCCGTGTTGCTTTTAGAAAGGAAGCATCTTTTAAAACTGGGTTATGATATGACCTAATGTATTGTGATGATGATTTTAGCTGTTTGTAGATATAACTGATTTTGATGGGTTTTATGTTAGTGTTGGTTTTATTTGATTTTAGTAATTCTGTGGTTGAATTGGTTTTTACCTGCTCTTTTTATTATGTTTTATTAGGATTGTAAACTACCTTGAGCACTACTACTACTACTACTATTACTACCACCACCACCACCACCACCAATAATATTAATAATATTAATAATATTAATATTAATAATATTAATATTAATATTGGACTGACCTGGCATTTAACAGCAATTATGTGCAGACCAGAAGGTTGTCTGATAGGGTTACCTCAATTCTGGTGGCTAAGAGGAGGACGAGAGCATGGAACACATATTACACCTCTGTGGCGTGCTCTCCACTAACAGCATATCCTCCACTCAATGTTGTATCTTCCCTTTGCTCTCAAACATTTTGTCCATAATGTCTGTCATATCCCTATGTTTTATTCCTTCAGGCACAAGACATTCCTTTTCCCCCCAGTGTATACTCA